TAATGTCTTTGAGGTGTCACAATCATGAATTTTAGAAATACCAACATACAGCAAGTGAAACCATTGAATTTTTCTGTGGCATAATGTTTTATTGCATCATGAAGGACCTGAGAAATTGAGGAGATAGAACTGATTACAAAAGAGGAGTCAAAACAAAATAAAACCTGAATTAAAATGTTAGATCAGGTCCACACATGAGGGTCCAATTAAACTGATGTATTGCTGTTCATGCCTACACACAAAAATCTTCTCAACTAATGGTTGGCACCTACTTAGAGTAAGATAAGGATCCACGGAATTCAAGGGAGGTCAGATTTAGTCCGCTTGTGGCTACGTAGGGATGCTAGGCTGATTCCTCTTTTGACTCCGCCCCCAGGTTCTGCTATTCCTTCTCCTACAGGTTGATAAGGAACCAATCAAGTAGCTGGTTTGGTTGCGTTGTAATTCCCGCTGTATGTGTATGTTTAGTTTGTGATTTTTTAATGTCCTAAGCCTCTTGAAGTCACTATGTGTAAGTTGGACAGCTATATATATATATTTGATAATAATAATAAGCTAATTGGAATCAGATTTCAGAGAGAAAAAATTCCGATTAAATTTTGGAGGGGAGAGGGCAGAGGGAGAACAGCCCTCTAAAAGAAGCCTGTGGAAATAAGATAAGATAAGATAAGGCAAGGCAAGGCAAGGTATAAGATGAGATGAGATGAGATAAGATAACCTTTATTGTCATTGTTTTATTGTGAGCACATTGGCGCACATTAAAAATGAAATCCAGTTGCTTGCTCTCAAAAGTGTATACATCCACAATACACATTTAAACATGCTATACACAACATATGTATAAACCTTCACCCGTACATAGAAATAACATATAAATATTAATCACTGACCATCTTGAATACGTTAGGGAAAGAGGAAGCTTGAGCGTTCACAAGGTTAACACTGTATGGAACAAAACTGTGACTGAATTCTGCTTCGGATACCACGGAGCCCCCTCCTCCCAGGAGGTAACCAAGAAAACAGATTGTGAAGAGGATGTGTAGTGTCCCAGACAATCTTGCAGACCCTGCTCAAGCAACGCTTGTGTGCTATGTCCTGGATGTGGGAGGGAGGGAGCTGCCAATGATCTTTCCTGCTGTCCTCACCACTCTCTGCACCGCCTTCCTGTCTGAAGCAGGGATGCTTCCAAACCAGACTGTGATGCTGTATGACAGGATGCTCTCGATCGTCCCTCTGTAGAAAGTGGTCAGGACAGAGGAAGGAAGATGTGCTTTTCTCATGCGACGCAGAAAATGTAGGCGCTGCTGTGCCCGCTTCACCCTTCTTACTGTTGAGCGACCAAGACCAAAATGGTTTCTTCCCAAAGCTGCAAATCTCATTGGTGGTGAGAATGGGGGATTCCGGTTAATGTTTGGGGAAGATTGAGGATCTACTTCAATCTTCCTTAATATTTTGAAGGTTTTTGGCACTGGGAGACCTGATGGTAGAAAATTAAATTTCCTATATTAGCTGCTTTGGTCACTGCAGTACCTGAACTAAAAGACATTAAGCTAGGCCAGGGGTAGGCAACCTTGGCTCTTTTATGACTCGTGGACTTCAACTCCCAGAATTCCTGAGCCAGCACAGCTGGCTCAGGAATTCTGGGAGTTGAAGTCCACGAGTCATAAAAGAGCCAGGGTTGCCTACCCCTGAGCTAGGCAGATCTCCTTCTAACATTCTAATGGGATTCTATTATAGTTTCTCTTAAATGTCCCTTCATTGCCTTGAGTTATTTATCAAAATAATAATAAGAAGAAAGTAACAGGATGTTAAGTTTCCTAAATCTGGCCATACACAGATCTGGATCCTTTTTACACTGCAGCCTTCCATCAGATAGATTTCAGGCTGCCCAGTGATGACCCGTATTCCACTTTCAACGTAGTAAAATATCGCATTTTATGCCTCTTGTAGGGTTTGAGAAACAAGCCAAAGAAAACTGGGCACGTAAAGCCTGATCTCATCGACGTGGACCTTGTAAGAGGTAAGACTTGGTCTCCTCAACCGGAGATGTAATTTTTTTTTTGTTTTGGCTTAGCTCAGGGGTAGGCAACCTTGGCTCTTTTATGACTCGTGGACTTCAACTCCCAGAATTCCTGAGCCAACATGGCTGAGCTTGGAAACTCCCTTTTCCCTCAGTGTGGCTGGCTCAAGAATTCTGGGAGTTGAAGTCTACGAGTCATAAAAGAGCCAAGGTTGCCTAACCCTGCCCTATATCAGGGGTCCTCAACCTTGGCAGCTCTAAGACTCGTGGACTTCAACTCCCAGAATTCCTGAGCCAGCATGGCTCAGCTTGGAAACCTCTCCCTTTTCCCTCAGTGTGGCTGGCTTAGGAATTCTGGGAGTTGAAGTCCACAAGTCATACAAGAGCCAAGGTTGCCTAACCCTGGCTTAGCTGGTTAACTATTTTTTTAAAAATATGTTTTATTAATTTTTTAACACAATCACCTTAATATACATTTAAGAAACGTTCACTAACAGTTGATTTTTATAATCTATAATCCCCATAACTTTACTTGATTTCCTCTTTTTCCCATAATGTTCTCTTTTACCAACCTTAAGTTAATACAATTCTTGTTGTTTTCATGAATGACGATCGAGTATAAAAGTTTTCTAGTATTTCTACAGATAATAATCACATCAATATAATATTCCTTTTCTAACTAGTCATTCTGGTTGTCTCATCATAGATCCCGTTTACTGTTCTTGTTTACATTTGTTTTCCCCACAATGTTCAAAACATTCTTACCGGTTAAGGTTTTCTCAAAAGTTAATTACATTTAAATATTTAAGTCTTATTTTTTTCTCATGTAAGCCAACCCAATACTTTTACCTTTCTTAAGGAATAAATAAGACTTAAAAAAAGAAGAAGAATAAAAATAAATTAAAAAAAAGTATGCTACTTACGGAGATGTAATTTTTTTCAATACGTTTTAGCTCCATTTTATCATTTTTAATACAGGTTTTCTTCATGGGTGACACTCCCTATGGGGAGGGATTTTGCTAGGTGCAAAGGGTCAGGACCATAGATTAAGTTGCAATTCAGAAAGATTTACTTCTGAAACCCAGATACAAGAATTCAATTGAACTAAGGGTCAGCACATTACAAAAAAGATGTTGAGACTTTGGGGAAAAAGTGCAGAGACGAGCAACTCAGATGATTAAAGTGCCTGGAGACTAAAACATATGAAGAACAGTTGCAGGAATTGGGTATGGCCAGTCTAGAGAAAAGAAGGTCGAGGGGGGACATGATAGCAGTCTTCCAATATCTCAGGGGCTGCCCCAAAGAAGAGGGAGTCAAGCTATTCTCCAAAGCGCCTGAAGGCAGGACAAGAAGCAACGGATGGAAACTAACCAAGGAGAGAAGCAACCTAGAACTAAGGAGAAACTTCCTGACAGTTAGAATAATTAACCAGTGGAACAACCTGCCTCCAGAAGCGGTGAATGCTCCAACACTGGAAGTTTTTAAGAAGAGACTGGACAGCCATTTGTCCGAAATGGTATAGGGTTTCCTATCTGAGCAGGGGGTTGGACTCAATGACCTCCAAGGTCCCTTCCAACTTGATGATGATGATGATGATAGTAGTCTTCTAGCATTTGAGGGGCTGCCACAAAGAAGAGGGAGTCATCAGTCACTTTTTTCAGTGCCGTCGTAACTTCGAACGGACACTAAATGAACAGTCAGGGACTACCCATGGTCCACAAAGTCCCTTCCAACTTTATTATTATATTTATATTTATATTTATATTTATATTTATATTTATATTTATATTTATATTTATATTTATATTTATATTTATATTTATATTTATATTTATATTTATATTTATATTTATATTATTTATATTTATATTATTTATAAAAAGCTATATAATATTTTTTATATAAAATATAGGTTTCTGCGTAACCAAGTCCTTGATTTTGCTTCTCTTTAGGATCGGCCTTTGCAAAAGCGAAGCCAGAAAGTCCGTGGACGTCCTTGACCCGAAAGGGAATTGTCAGAGTCGTTTTCTTTCCCTTTTTCTTCAACTGGTGGCTACAAGTGACCTCCAAAGTTATATTTCTGTGGCTCCTTTTCCTTTATCTTCTTCAAGGTACGTATGGATGAGATCTTCTGCCTAAGAGATGCCCGGGTTTAAAAAAAACAACAACAGCCCTAGCTTCCAGTTCTAGTCTTTGGAGAAACAAGTGTCCCAATAGTTGAACAACACTAAAATAACGTATTTAAAATACATTACCGTAAAGCGAAATTTTTAGAGCATTAACGGTGTAAAAAAGAAACTTGACAGGGTAATCATAAGAATGCAACAGCCCAGCTTTCACAGTTTGACAAGAAAGTGGAAAGTGGATAGTGGACACTGCTAGAGACAGCAGGTTAAAAAGAGAAAGAACTGGAGAAAAATAACAAAATGGAAAGAAACAGAAATAGACTAATGGTGGCAAAAGAAAGCAAAGGTGGTACCAATAATAATAGGCGCCTTGGATGCAAACATCTGAACGCCAGTGGAATTGACACCATCCCTATCGGTCAATTGCAAAAGGCAGTTTTACCGGAGTGCAGCTGTAATCCCACTTAATGTTATTTTGAAAATACACGTTCTGAAATGAACGTTTTAGCTGTAGGAAAAGAACTGTATTTATATATAGGATGATACTGGATAGGTAACAAGTTTTACTGTACTGTAGATATAGATATATATATATTTTAAAGGAGTTTTCACTTTATTTAGAGAATGGCATCCAGCCATATTAAAAATGGTTAGATACCTTGATTTCAGCAAAAGACTGACATGGCTGCTTAAATCCCCTCCGCCCGGGGATAGGAGTTGAGTGGGAAGGTTTTCTGTGGATCGTGATCCATTTCTGACTTCCAGGAAGTCATCTTCTGATTAATGAGCTGCTTTTCTCTGGTTTAACCATGAATTGCTACGCCATTTGTATCCTCTTTTCTTCTTTCCAACAGTGGCGGCAGTCATACTCTTCTTTACGATAGAAAGCCCACACCACATACCTCTGACGGAAGTCATCGGCCCAGCATGGCTCATGTTGCTTCTGGGAACTGTGCACTGCCAGATTGTCTCCACAAGAACTCCCAAATCATCCGCAAACACCGGAGGGAGAAGGAGGAGGTACTTTTGTGGGGTGTGACCACAAAACAATTGAACGTCTGTATTATTGAATTTTAACACGCGGTCCCGTGTTAAAATTCAAGTTAAGATGATGCATTGCTCCAGCCTATGTACAAAAACCCAACACTAAATTTGCGCTAGATAAGAGACAACGAAATTCGAGGGCTTGGATTTAGACCGTTTGTGATCACGCACAAACCTATTTGGCAGGTTTGTTACCCATATTAAAAGGGGTTTGTTTTCTTTTGAGTCTCCAGCCTATTTTCTCAACAGGGGTTTTGTCCTTGTGCCTTTAACAAGGACGGCCATAGGCTGGGACAGAACAGGCAGAGCCTAAGGGTGGAGTCAAGAGAGGAATCAGCCTGGAATCTACACATCGCCAACCTGTCTTGAATTATGTTAACTCTTATCTAGAAACCAGTTTAGGGCTGACTATTAGTTTCATGGGCACAGGCTTGAGCAATACATCAACTTAGCCAGAACGTGACGCGTGGTCCTGATTCTTCGTGCCTGACCCAAATGAAATGAAAACGTAATTGGTCGCGTTTAAATCAACAAAGCCGCTTCAGCTTTAAATACGCTGACGGGTAACTCTGTCCATATTTTGGTGCTCGTGAATTACTTTTACCAAATGTCTCCCATTTTCCGATTTCTTCTGATGAAGGAAATTAAGGAAAGCAGCCCACTTGGAAGTGCATCGTGAAGGGGATGGCTCTAGCACGACCGACAACACTCAGGAAGGAACCGTCCAGAGTTATGGCACCAGCAGCTCTTACAGTCTTTGCTCTGTCTTCAAGGAACTCTGGCACGCTACTTCCTTTTTATCAGGGTTGGTATATTTTATTCAGGCCTTGGTTTATCTTAAAGGAGGCACTGTTGCCTTTCTTCATCATCATCCTGTCCCACGTTTTTGAGCACCTGCGACTTCGTTTTCCACCCTTTAGCACAGGGGTAGTCAACCTTGGCTCTTTTATGACTCGTGGACTTCAATTCCCAGAATTCCTGAGCCAGCTTAGCTGGCTCAGGAATTCTGGGAGTTGAAGTCCACGAGTCATACAAGAGCCAAGGTTGACTACCCGTGCTTTAGCATCTGTCAACCCTGGAAGCCAGTAGGGGAAAATTGAGGTCACAGATGCCCGAAGTCCATGAAAAAAAATTAGATTCTGTTCTAAATCTGCTCATCATTTTTCAGCTGAGTTTTTTATTTGGCTCTGGTGCCCTTCCTGTTAAATTAGGAAAGGCCTTTCTACTTTTTCAGTTTCCAGGAAACTTCCTTTAATTCCAACAAGCAAGATAAACAGTTGATATAGCGATTAAGGCATCAGTCTAGGAAGCAGGAGACTCTTGAGTTCCTGTCCCGCCCTAGCCATGATTGGCCCAATCACCAGGAGATGGTGAGTTCTAGTCCTACTTTAGCCGTGAAAGCCAGCTGGCTGACTTTGGGCCCGTCACCAGGAGATGGTGAGTTCTAGTCCTGCGTTAGCCCTAAAAGCCAGCTGGGTGACTTTGGGCCCGTCACCAGGAGATGAAGAGTTCTAGTTTTGCCTTAGCCACGAAAGCCAGTTGGTGACTTTGGCCCCGTCACCAGGTGACTGAGTTCTAGTCCCACCTGAGGCACCAAAGCTGGCTGGGTAACTTTGGGCCCTTTTATGATTTGTGGACTTCAACTCCCAGAATTCCTCAGCCAGGCACGCTGGCTGAGGAATTCTGGGAGTTGAAGTCCACACTTCTTAAAATGGCCGAGGTTGAGAAACACCATTTTAGCTCTTTCTGAGTTAGCTTTATTTCCCCCTCACATTATGTCAGGGGTCTTATGACTTGTGGACTTGTATCTACGCTGGCTGAGGAATTCTGGGAGTTGAAGTCCACAAGTCATCAAAAGGCCAAGTTTGAAGACCCCCTGGATTAAATATTTCCTGTGTGTATGTAGGCGTAAATTTAGGCCTAAAGTAATTATTGCCTCCAAACCACCTGTTTCGACTTTGACAGATAGGTTTGTATATCCTAAATCAATCATTAATTTGTAATAGTTTGTAAGTTTAAAATATATTATATATTCTTATATCCTAAGAATTCTATTTTTGCCTCTTCCCCCCCCCCCCCTTTGCCTTAAAACAGTTTGGGAAACGGGATCAGGAAGAAGTCTTCAGCTAAACAATAATTATTTTGTGTGTTTGGTTGGCCTCTAGAGCAAAGAAAGCAAAGAATTCCATCGACAAGTCCACGGAAACCGACAATGGGTACGTCTCCCTTGAGGGAAAAAGGACAGGGAGAAACAATGAAGATGCTTTGCAGTTCCAGGATCCTGTCTCTGAGGTCATCCGGGCAGAAGAGACCGGCTGGAATATCGGAACTGCCCGAAGTACATACAACACTTCGAATCATAAAGTGAGTCCTTTGTTTTGTGTTCATGATATTAGACTCTCTCTGTGAGCGAGGTGGGCGGTCTCTCCATCGGGTAGATAAATGAATTAGGGAAGAGAAGAAAGTTACGATGCAAAAGAAACAGAAAAGAACGGGGTCTGCCATTGCCCCAGCCCTCTGGAATATTCTACCCTCCCCCCCGAAGGTGAGACTGGTCCCCACTCTCTTGGCCTTCCAAAAAGGAGTCAAAACATGGTTGGAATAGAATGGAATGGAATTAAAATAATAATAGAATAGAATAGAATAGAATAGAATAGAATAGAATAGAATAGAATAGAATAGAAAATGAATGGAATGGAATAATAATAATAATAATAATAATAATAATAATAATAATAATAATAATAATAATAATAATAATAATAATAATAATAAGAAGAATAGAATAGAATAGAATAGAATAGAATAGAATAGAATAGAAAATATGGAATGGAATAGAATAGAATAGAATAGAATAGAATAGGAAATAATAGGAATAGAATAGAATAGAATAGAATAGAATAGAATAGAATAGAATAGAATAGAATAGAATAGAATAGAATAGAATATATGGAATGGAATAGAATTAGAATAGAATAGAAAATATGGAATGGAATAGAATAGAATAGAATAGAATAGAATAGAATAGAATAGAATAGAATAGAATAGGAAATAATAGGAATAGAATAGAATAGAATAGAAAATATGGAATGGAATTGAACTAGAATAGAATAGAAAATATGGAATGGAATGGAATGGAATAGAATAGAATAGAATAGAATAGAATTAGAACTTTACTGTCACTTAGCATACATTAAAATTAAATTTTGTTGCATACAGCTCTCAAAAAATACCATTATGCATACACACACACATACACACACGATACAGAGCAACGTCACAGTTTCCCATGCATGCGGAGCTCAGAGGACTATACAGCCAGGGGGTTGGTTAGTGCCCTGAAAGCCCTCCCTTCGCCTTTCAACTAATTTTAATAGCTTGCTGCAGAAGGAGTGGAAAAACCGGGGATGGAGTTGAAAGAGGAATCAGCCTAGATTAGAATCCCTATGTAGCCACAAGCGGACTCAGTCCTTGAATTCTGTGGATCATGGTGACCAAAACTGGATGCAGTATTCCACGTGTGGCCTTACCAAGGCCTTGTAAAGTGCATGAATTATTTGAGATCAAAGATGTGCCTTTTATTGAGAGTAAGTTCTTCTTTGGTTTAGGACAGTCACCGAACAATGACAAATATATCCGATGAAGTTTCTAGTGAGGAGGGGCCGGAAACTGGCTATCCTTTACGACGGAATGCTGAACGCGCTTCCAGCGATTGTGCGTTTCGGAACAAGAAAACTCATCACTATAAGAAGCATTACCCCATAGAGGTAACAACACTTTGCATTGCTGCTGAGTAAACTTTTAAGGACGTCAAATTCATGTGTAGTCCTGGGAGACGTAAGAGCTGTGGTGGGGCAGTGATGAGAACGTAATATTGCAGGCTAACTCACTGCTCACTGCCAGGAGTTCGATCCTGACCGGCTCGAGGTTGACTCAGCCTTTCATCCTTCTGAGGTTGGTGAAATGATTGGTGGGGGCAACAGGCTGACTCTGTAAACTGCTTAGAGAGGGCTGGGAAGCACCGTGAAGCAGTATATAAGTACTATGGCTATTCCTTCCTTTCCTCCCTCCCTCCCTCCCTCCCTCCTTCCTTCCTTTCTCTCTTACTCCCTTTTTCATTCTCCTTCCTGGTGGCACAGTGGTTAGAATGCAGTACTGCAGGCTAACTCTGCCCACTGCCAGGAGTTCGATCCTGCCTGGCTCAAGGTTGACTCAGCCTTCCGTCCTTCTGAGGTCGGTGAAATGAGGACCCAGATTGTTGGGGGCCATAGGCTGACTCTGTAAACCGCTTAGAGAGGGCTGTTAAAAACACTGAGAAGCGGTATATAAGTCTAACTGCTATTGCTATTTGCCCAGCCTGGCAGGGAGGAGGGGTCAAGTGTAGAGCTAGCCTGGAATCACCACATAATCACCAAAGAGCTAGGGCTGACCTTCCCTAAGTTCCTTGGAACCTTATTTCATTGTTCCCAGGCGTAGGCTGCCAGTCCGGGGAGATTCCTGTATTATAGGCTGAGCATAATAAAGTACTTAGCTTGAACTCTGCCTGTCTTGGTCTTGTTGCTCGTGCCTGACGGCGGAATAGCATCCGATGGTTCTTCCTGTGTTCTCCAGGATGTCCCCAAATCAGGGACCAGCTGCAGTTCGCGATGTTCAAGCTCCAGGCAAGATTCGGAGAGCACCAGGCCAGAATCGGAGACGGAAGATGTGCTGTGGGAGGATTTTTTGCACTGTGCCGAGTGCCGCTCGTCCTGCACCAGCGAGACCGACGCGGAGAATTCTCAGGTCAACTCCTGCATGAAGAAGGAGTACAGGGACGACCCCTTTCATCCGGTTAGTAGGAGAATAAATGATACAACAGAATAAGGGAATTGGAAGGGACCTTGGAGGTCTTCTAGTCCAACCCCCTGCTCAGGCAGGAAATCCTATACCATTTCAGACAAATGGCTGTCCAGTTTCTTCTTAAAAACTCCCAGTGTTGGAGCATTCACAGCTTCTGGAGGCAGGTTGTTCCACTGGTTAATTGTTCTCACTGTCAGGAAGTTTCTCCTTAGTTCTAGGTTGCTTCTCTCCTTGATTAGTTTCCACCCGTTGCTTCTTGTCCTGCCTTCAGGCACTTTGGAGGATAGCTTGACTCCCTCTTCTTTGTGGCAGCCCCTGAGATATTGTAACACTGCTACCGTGTCTCTCCTAGTCCTTCTTTTCAGTAGACTAGACATACCCAATTCCTGCAACCGTTCTTCACATGTTTTAGCCTCCAGGCCCCTAATCATCTTTGTTGCCCTTCTCTGCACTCTTTCTAGAGTCTCAGCATCTTTTTTACATTGTGGTGACCAAAACTGGATGCAGTATTCCAAGTGTGGCCTTACCAAGGCACTGTAAAGTGGTACTAACACTTCACGTGATCTAAAAAAATACTGTCGGAAGACTGCTATCATGTCACCCCTGGTCCTTTTTTTCACTAGACTAGACAAACCCAATTTCTGCAACTGTTCTTCATATGTTTTGGCCTCCGGTCCACTAATCATCTTTGTTGCTCTTCTCTGTACTCTTTCTAGAGCAGGGGTCTTCAAACTTGGCCCTTTGATGACTTGTGGACTTCAACTCCCAGAATCCCTCAGCCAGCGTGCCTGGCTGAGGAATTTTGGGAGGGGTCTTCAAACTTGGCCCTTTGATGACTTGTGGACTTCAACTCCCAGAATTCCTCAGCCAGCGTGCCTGGCTGAGGAATTCTGGGAGGGGTCTTCAAACTCGGCCCTTTTATGACTTGTGGACTTCAACTCCCAGAATCCCTCAGCCAACGTGCCTGGCTGAGGAATTCTGGGAGCAAACGTGGCCCTTTTATGACTTATGGACTTCAACTCCCAGAATTCCTCAGCCAGCATGCCTGGCTGAGGAATTCTGGGAGTTGAAGTCCACAAATCATAAAAGGGCCAAGTTTGAAGACCCCCTGTTCTAGAGTCTCAACATTATATTATCTATATTTTTTTTTTATTTTTTATATTTTATATTATTTTATATTTTATATTATTTTATATTATTTTATATTATTTTATATTTTATATTTTATATTTTATATTTTATATTTTATATTTTATATTTTATATTTTATATTTTATATTTTATATTTTATATTATTTTATATTTTATATTTTATATTTTATATTTTATATTTTATATTTTATATTTTATATTTTATATTTATATTTTATATTTATGTGGAGCTGGCCAAATCTGTCCGAAGCTATAATGTTTGCTAGATTACTCACCTGCTATTGACAATATGGCTTTTGTTATTATTATTAATTACGTATTTACGGAACCTTCTATGTCCCTTTTCTATTTATTTTTGGCAGAGTCATTTGCCCTGGTTCCACAGCTCTAACCCCGGTTTAGAGAAAGTCAGCGCCATCGTGTGGGAAGGGAACGACTGCAAAAAGGCTGACATGTCCGTTCTGGAGATCAGCGGCATGATCATGAACAGAGTGAGTCTCTTTTAAGCGTCTTAAGATTTGCCCCGATTGAATAGGATGCTTGCAAGGCTCATTGAAGTGTATAGATGGTTGGCTGATTCCTTACGTTTTTAGAGTTGACGGAATGTGCTAACTCCTGCTAAAATGCCTGCTGGGGATTTCTCCCCCAAAATGAAATTGCAATATGTGAATGAAGACTCTATGCCTAACCCAAAATGTTCATTTTGGCTGAAGAAGTTACTTAGATGAATAATGAAACTTCTCGGTTTTAATAAACTTTGGGTCCAGTTGCCATGATTTAAACTTTTAAGATACTTTTGGCCCGGATGATTGAGTCTACATCCACACTCTGAAGATTCTGTAGAATTTAATTAGGATAGGATAGGATATGATAGGAAAAAGGGAAAGAGGAAAGAGGAAATGAAAAAGGGAAAGAGGAAAGAGGAAATGAAAAAAGGAAAGATACTTTTGGCCTGGATGATTGAGTCTACATCCGCACTCTGAAGATTCTGTAGAATTTAATTAGGATAGGATAGGATAGGATAGGATAGGATAGGATAGGATAGGATAGGATAGGAAAAAGGGAAAGAGGAAAGAGGAAATGAAAAAGGGAAAGAGGAAATGAAAAAAGGAAAGATACTTTTGGCCTGGATGATTGAGTCTACATCCACACTCTGAAGATTCTGTAGAATTTAATTAGGATAGGGTAGGGTAGGGTAGGGTAGGATAGGAAAGGAAAGGAAAAAGGGAAAGAGGAAAGAGGAAATGAAAAAGGGAAAGAAGAAAGGAACAAAAGAAAAGAAAGGAAAAAGGGAAAGAGGAAAGGAAAGGATAGCAATATCACTTAGACGTATATACCACTTCACGCTGCTTTACAGCCCTCTCTAAGCGGTTTACAGAGTCAGCCTTTTGCCCCCAACAATCTGGGTCCTCATTTGACCAATCTCAGAAGGATGGAAAGCTGAGTGCACCTTGAGCTGGTCAGGATCGAGCTCTTGGAGTGAGCAGTGAGTTAACTTGCAGTACTGCATTTTAACCACTGCACCACCACGGTGATGGGATGGGATAATGGGTGGGGAGGGGAAGGGAAGGCGAAGGGGAGGGGAGGAGAGGGAAGGAAAGGTGAAGGCAAGGGGATGGGGAGAGAAGGCAGAGAAGAGGAGAGGGAAGGGAAGGCAAGGGGAAGGGAGAGGAGAGGAGGCTTGGCCAAGCGTGATTAGACACACAAGGAATTTGTCTCTGGTGCAGAAGCTCTCAATGTACATGCAAAGCAACAGAGTAATAATAATAATAATAATAACAACAACAACCAATAGTAATAGGCGCCTTGGGTGCAATCCCAAAACAACTGGAGCACCACTTGAACACCATCATCGGCATTGACAAATTCGCCATTAGTCAATTGCAAAAGGCGGCCTTACTAGGAACTGCTTCCATCCTGCGACGAGATCAGTAATACCATCAAACATCCACATCTGCCTATCCCAGGTCCTGGGTAAGGACTCGATAGGTAGACAAAAAGGCCAAATCCAGTCTGAACATCTGGCTGACTGCGCGATGATCCATAATCTTCTATATAAATAAAAATGTAAATGTTCGTTTGTTCAAAATCTGAAATCTCCGAAAGTTCTTCACCGATTGCTTTGAAATTTTGACACGACGTTGCATTCGAATACGCGCGTGTTTTTATATACCTATATTATATAGATGTCACACCTGTGACAGGTAAAAACATGCTTTTTTTTGAAAAACAGCGCCATCTGTTGGACGTAAAAGCAAGACACGCTTTTACCAGACAGCCACAGCAACGCGTGGCCGGGTACAGCTAGTAATGATAATAATAATAGGATACCACTACCAATGGTCTCACATTAGATTTTACACTTTCGTTCAGTTGAATTCAGATGTCCTTTTTTAGGCACTGTAAACCACTTCACGGTAACACGATGTATTAAAATGCACCCCCGTCATCGTCTTTGCTTTGTTTCCTATCTTTAGGTAAACAGCTACGTTCCGGGCATCGGATACCAGATTTTTGGAAACGCGGTCTCCTTAATCCTAGGATTAACCCCGTTTGTGTTTAGACTGTCCCAAGAAAAAGACCTGGAACATTTAGCCATGCATACGGCTACCGAGCTCTATGCCATCGCCTTCGGGTCAAATGGAAACCTAATGGTGATCTCCATGGTTATTGTCTGCTTTATAGTCCGTGTTTCCCTCGTGTGGATTTTTTTCTTCCTTTTATGCGTGGCTGAGAGAACGTACAAGCAGGTAAGCCTTAGCCCCAAACCTCTCTCCAAGTCGTCTTTTTTTGGGGGAAAGCATTGACGTATTTGTCCATGATCTCATCCCAAAGGTGCTTTTTTTCAAGAGGCAACTGGACTTTCTTGAATTCTTTCTTTGAAGACGTTTCGCTTCTCATCCAAGAAGCTTCTCCAGCTCTGACTGGATGGTGGGGAGTGGAAGGATTTATACTCCTTGCAGACGGCTGGTCATTTGCATTCTTGTAGAGAGTCGTTGAGGCCACCTGGAGCTTTTTGACTTAGATGGCCTCTTTGACCCCCTCTTTCAAACCGGCGGTCTTCTCTGTCCAAAATGCGGACGTTGCTGTCTTCAAAGGAGTGGCCTTTGTCCTTTAAATGCAGATGGACTGCTGAATCTCGTCCTGTGTCAAAATTGAACAGCCCTCCTTCAACAGAGGGGGAGGGATACAACATCATCTATCTCCAGTCTACAACAGCATCTATCTCCAGTCTACAACAACATCTATCTCCAGTCTACAGCAGCTCCAAGAAGGCTCCACACCCACCTGAGGACACAGGTAAACCTCCAAGTGGCATCAGCGACTCTCTGAAAGAATGCAAATGACCAGCTGTCTTCAAGGAGTATAAATCCTTCCATTCCCCACCATCCAGTCAGAGCTGAAGAAGCTTCTTGGATGGGAAGTGAAAGGTCTTCAAAGACCATGGTTGTCCCAAAGGTGCTTAGCCTTGGGACAACCATGACCTGGATGACTGAGCATCTCCATAGACATGTCTACGATCTCTGCTTTTTCATGCCTTGGTTATAACAGAATAGAATTATTCTTTATTCCATTTAGAATATAGATACATTCTATTTATTCAAAGACATCTCATATTCTTTATTGGCCAAGTGTGATTATACACCTTTGAATTTGTTCTCCGGTGCATAAGCTCTCAGCGTACGTACAAACAACAAAGTCAATAGATCATAAATCACAGTTTCAATCAATCATGAGATACAAACAATAAGCGATAAATCGTTAAGAAACCGATAGAAGAAGATAGTAGGAAAGATGAGAAAGATGACAGGGATAATAGCAATACGGCCTTACTACATGGGTAAATATCTTTAGGCCTAAGACAGTACTGTGTAATTTAGGTGTTTAGCAAAGTGATGGCACAGGAGAAAAAACCTATCTTTGTGTCTAGTTCTTTTGGCACGCAATGCCCTATAGCAGGGGTAGGCAACCTTGGCTCTTTTATGACTCGTGGACTTCAACTCCCAGAATTCCTGAGCCAGCCACGCTGAGGGGAAAGGGAGCGGTTTCCAAGCTGAGCCATGCTGGCTCAGGAATTCTGGGAGTTGAAGTCCACAAGCCATGAGGGGGCCATAGTTCCTCCATGCTGGCTCAGGAATTCTGGGAGTTGAAGTCCACCAGTCATAAAAGGGCCAAGTTTGAAGACCCCTGGTTTAAATATTGAAATATTTTTTCCTCACGGTCACGTGATCAAAATTCAGGCATTTGGGCAGGGGTAGGCAACCTTGGCTCTTTTATGACTTGTGGACTTCAACTCCCAGAATTCCTGAGCCAGCATGGGGGGAACTATGGCCCCTTCATGACTTGTGGACTTCAACTCCCAGAATTCCTGAGCCAGCCACGCTGAGGGAAAAGGGAAAGGTTTCCAAGCTGAGCCATGCTGGCTCAGGAATTCTGGGAGTTGAAGTCCACAAGTCTTAAAGTTGCCAAGATTGAGGACCCCTGATATAGGGCAGGGGTGGGCAACCTCGGCTCTTTTATGACTCGTGGACTTCAACTCCCAGAATTCCTGAGTCAGCCACGCTGAGGGGAAAGGGAGAGGTTTCCAAGCTGAGCCATGCTGGCTCAGGAATTCTGGGAGTTGAAGTCCACGAGTCATAAAAGAGCCAAGGTTGCCTGCCCCTGCCCTATAGCAACGTCCCGAGGGGAGAAGTTGAAACGGTTTATGTCTAATGCTATTTTATTATTTTTTATGCCAGAAATATATATTCTGTCCTTAAAAAACATTTTTCTAGTCACTACTTTAGTCACTAAATATAGAATTCCTGAAAATATCCACATTTTAATTGGCTACGACTATTATTATTGCACACAACTATAGATCAAATAAAGAGAAAACATCTAACATAAGCCCACTGCCGATGTAAACAAAGTAATTAAAGAAAAAATACACTCAGAAAATCGAGTCATAAAGAAAATATTTCCGAAAACAAATTTAATTAGTGACAGTCATCTTCCTTTGCAAAAAAAAACAACACAAAAACAAAACCCAAAACAATTAATTTAAATATTGGTTACACATGTCAGTAATCCAGTCTTGCAAATCAGGCTCATGCGGTATTGCAGAATAAATATTACCACAAGCAGATCCTTTGTGCATCTTTTCATGGCTTGGGAGATTCCTAATATTGGGGACCTAATAAAGAAATATACAACCTTAATACTCTAAACCAGGGGTCCCCAATCTGTGGGCAACAGCCCACTACCGGTCCCGTGCAACTGGATCGTGTGAATGGCTGGTGCACGTGCATGCGCACACATACACACAGTCATACTCGAGCATCACAGGCGCTCGGGGCCTCACTGGCACGACCATCGCAGGGGCTCACTGCCCCATTCGCGTGAGCCTCGCAGGCGCTTGGGGCCTCACTCATGCAAGCCTCGTGGGTGCTCAGGCCTCACTTGCGCAAGCGTCGCAGGCACTCGGGCCTCACTTGTGCGAGCATCACAGGTGCTCGGGGCCCCACTCATGTGAGCATCTCAGGCGCTCGGACCTCAGTGGCGCAAGCATCACGGGTGCTCGGGGTCCCACTCGCGAGAATGTCGTTCGCTCGGGACTCATGCGTGCTCGGGACCCCACTCGCGCGAGCCTCACGGGCGCTCGTGACCTCACTCCTACGAGGGTCACAGGGGCTCTCAGCCCACTTGCGGGCCACCAAACCCAGAAAATAGTGTGAATAATTATGGTTGCACTCTGCTTTTCCCACCTGGGCGCCACTAAGAGGCATACAGTGAAGATTCTTATTTGTTTCACGTAAAAACTCTTTCTGTTTTGCAGAGATTGCTGTTTGCCAAATTGTTCGGTCATTTAACATCTGCCAGGAGAGCCCGGAAGTCAGAAGTTCCGCACTTCCGGCTGAAAAAAGTGCAGAATATTAAAATGTGGCTTTCCCTCCGCTCCTATCTGAAGGTTTGTTGGCCTCTATTGTATTTATTTCTATTGTTTTTATTTCATGCCATAGACGCTCTTGGTGCGACAGGCTTAAACTCTCCCCTTGTTTTTAAGATTTTAAGATTAAGATAACCTTTATTGTCATTTTTTTTTTACCGTGAGCACACTGGCACCCATTAAGAATGAAATTCTGTTGCCTGCTCTCCAAAGAAAGCATATATCTACCCGTACACATACATGACACACATATATACTGTACATGCTATATACCTATAATAATAGTAGTAGTAGTAGTAGTAGTAGTAGTAGTAGTAGTAGTAGTAGTAGTAGTAGTAGTAGTAGTAGTAAAGTTGGAAGGGACCTTGGAGGTCATCTAGTTCCAAACCCCTGCTCAGGCAGGAAACCCTTTTCGGACCATTTCGGACAAATAGCTGTCTAGTCTCTTCTTAAAAACTTCCAGTGTTGGAGCATTCACCGTTTCTGGAGGCAGGTGGTTCCACTGGTTAATTGTTCTCACTGTCAGGAAGTTTCTCCTTAGTTCTAGGCTGCTTCTCTCCTTGATTAGTTTCCATCCGTTGCTTCTTGTCCTGCCTTCAGGCGCTTTGGAGAATAGCTTGACTCCCTCTTCTTTGAGATACTGAGATACTGAGATACTGGAACTCTTCTATCATGTCCCCCCTCGTCCTTCTCTTCATTAAACTAGATATACCCAATTCCAGCAACCGTTCCTTATATGTTTTAGCCTCCAGTCTCCTGATCATCTTTGTTGCTCTTCTCTGTACTCTTTCTAAAGTCTCAGCATCTTTTTTACATCGCGGTGACCATATATATACCTACACCATACATAGTATAGAATTAAAGGCCCATATTTCTCAGGATGGCACAAACAAATCAGGAGGTCAAGAAAGAAGAGAAGTCAGTCAGACCACAGTAGACCCCGTCTCTGTCTTCATCATGCATTTCATGCTCCTAATTTGAGGACTGCCTACACTGTGATCCGGCTATTTCTGTGTCTTTAAAGATATCACTAGCACTTCTTCCCATTCATTGTAAATAATTCCTTTTTTAAGAACCTAGGCGCTGAACCGTACAGCAAATAATGCAATATTTTGGAGAGAAATAGAATATATTTCAATAGATAAGATGTGCATTCTGAATATTAGACTTTGTGATGTATGGCGATAATGGGAACGTTGGTTATTTAAACCTTGGAAACTATAAATATTAAATGTTAAGTTAAATATCAAGGGGAAATTAAAAAGTGGGGAAAACTAATTAGGACATTGATTGTCCATAAAGACTGAATAAGGATATGTACAAGCCAAAAATTATTGACAAATGTAAGAATGTTATTTTTATTTAATTGATTTAATAAGAATTGCATTAGTTTAAACAGGAGACAGTAAATACTAAGGGGAAAAGAGAGGAAAAAATTAATATAGGAGCTTGAGATTTGCACTAAAGATATTTGTATGTTATTGTATTATCTATTAACCCAGCCGCCCCTCGGTTTTTCCAATACTCAAATGTAAACTTAGAAAATCAATAAAACTTATAAATAATAATAATCATGCAATATTTTACTTGTACAAGTTACCACTGCTGTGTATTAATATGAGACCAGCTTCTGCGATGGTTCATTCCTGCCTTCCATTCACAGTTTTTGTTTTTATTTTCAGCGAAGAGGACCTCAGCGTTCAGTGGACGTCATCGTTTCCTCTGCTTTCTTGTTGACTATTTCTGTTGTATTTATCTGCTGCGCGCAGGTAAGGAATCTGATGGGAACTGATTTCCTTCCTGTCGAAATATCGCAATTACGCAGCTTAGTTAGAAACTTTCCTGCATGCCTCTTCAGATGGACTTCAGAGGTCAAATGCATCCATAACCCAGAAGCAAACGTAGAGGTTGATCCTATAGCAAATGTGTTTAGCTGGATTAGTTATTTTTCAGCCTTGTCAATCAGTCAATCAATGCACTCAAATCAATCAGAATAGAGCTGGAAGGGACATTGGAGGTCTTCTAGTCCAACCCCTTGCTCAGTGGTATAGAAGACCCTATACCATTTCAGACAAGTGGATACCCAGTCTTCTCTTAAAAACCTCCAGTGATGGAGCACCCACAACTTCTGGAGGCAAGCCGTTCCACTGGTTATTGTCCTCCCTGTTAGGAAGTTTCTCCTTAATTCCAGATTGTTTCTCTCCTGGGTTAGTTTCCATCTGTTGTTTCTTGTCCTGCCTTCAAGAGCTTTGGAAATGTTGACCCCCTCCTCTTTGTGGCAGCCCCTCAAATGCTGGAAGGCTCCTATCATCTCCCTCTCAGTCCTTCCTTTCTCTAGATTAGCTAAACCCAGTTCCTGCAACCGTTCTTCATATGTTTTAGTCTCCAGGCCCTTAATCATCTTAGTTGCTGTCCTCTGTAGAATTCTGGGATTTGAAGTGACAAGGTTGAGAAACACAGATCTAGATAACGGGCCTTAGAATGTTGTTTGCTTTGTGTGGATCATTACCACAAAGAAGTATACAAAAGAGACTTTGTTCAATGGCTAATCAAGAGACAGGAAGGAATCTTAACTAGCATCGCTATATCAATTTTATGACTATTTTTTCCTTAACTATAAATGCAGCTGAATGTTTTCACTTGATAGCATAGCACAAAAGATGGGCACCGGTCCAAGGAGCCAGGGTGATTCGCATAGCCCATTTTTATAAAACTTGCACAGATGAAAGAAGTTGTAATTCCTTTCCTTCTGCTAATGGAGACATATGCGTTGTCAATGCTGCAAATACTGCATATTGTCAAAGCAAGAATATACAGTATTTGCAGCGTTGACATGCGTGTCTACTCAGAAATACATCACATTAAAGTTGAACAGGCCTGTCCTCAGGAAAGTGAGCATTTTATAAAGCAGGGGTCTTCACACTTGGCCCTTTTATGACTTGTGGACATCAACTCCCAGAATGCCTCAGCCAGCCTCCATTTTGTTTGTTAGGTTTAAGATAGGGGTCTTCAAACTTGGCCCTTTTATGACTTGTGGACTTCAAGTCCCAGAATGCCTCAGCCAGCCTCCATTTTGTTTGTTAGATTTAAAACAGGGGTCTTCAAACTTGGCCCTTTTATGACTTGTGGACGTCAACTTCCAGAATGCCTCAGCCAGCCTCCATTTTGTTTGTTAGATTTAAGACAGGGGTCTTCAAACTTGACCCTTTTATGACTTGTGGACTTGAAGTCCCAGAATGCCTCAGCCAGCCTCCATTTTGTTTGTTAGATTTAAGACAGGGGTCTTCAAACTTGGCCCTTTTGTGACTTGTGGACTTCAACTCCCAGAATGCCTCAGCCAGCCTCCATTTTGTTTGTTAGATTTAAGACAGGGGTCTTCAAACTTGGCCCTTTTATGACTTGTGGACGTCAACTTCCAGAATGCCTCAGCCAGCCTCCATTTTGTGGAGGCTGGCTGAGGCATTCTGGGAGTTGAAGTCCACGAGTCATAAAAGGGCCAAGTTTGAAGACCCCTGTTATTAAGATTGCAACAGAAGTCGATTACTCGTGAATTTTAATTTTTTTGAAAGATCCTTCAGTGCTTAGGGAGAATTAACTCCTCTGTTTTTTCGTTTTGCCTTGTTTCAGCTGCTTCATGTCCATGCAGTCTTCCTGGATTGCCATTATAATTGGGAACTAGTGATCTGGTGCGTTTCCTTAACCCTCTTTCTTTTGAGATTTGTAACACTTGGGAGCGAAACAAGCAAAAAATACAGCAATACATCAATCTTGCTTACGGAACAGGTAAGGAAATTTCCTGGCGTTGACGGAAAAAAAATTCCCTCAAAGCATCGTGTTACAATTTATTATTCTTTTCCTCTGGATATACCGTATTTTCCGGCGTATAAGACGACTGGCCGTATAAGACGACCCCCAACTTTTCCAGTTAAAATATAGAGTTTGGCCTATATCAGGGGTAGGCAACCCAAAACGCTCAAAGAGCCACTTGGACCCGTTTCCCACCGAAAACAATACACTGGGAGCCGCAAAACCCTTTTGATATCTAAAATGAAGATAAGACTGCATATATCCTTTTTTTACCTTTATGATATATGTGTGTGTGTGTGTGTGTGTGTGTGTATGTTTGTGTGTGTATATATAAAATAAAGGTAAAAAAGGATATATGCAGTCTTAAAGTTGCCAAGGTTGGGGACCTTTGGTCTATCATATCTATCTGTCTGTCTGTCTGTCTGTCTGTCTGTCTGTCTGTCTGCCTGCCTGCCTGCCTGCCTGCCTATCTATCTATCTATCTATCTATCTATCTATCTATCTATCTATCTATCTATCTATCTATCTATCTATCTATCTATCTATCTATCATCTATCATCTATCTATCTATCTATATCGTCTATCTATCTATCTATCTATCTATCTATCTATCTATCTATCTATCTCTCTAGTCTATTTATATCTATCTATCTATCTATCTATCTATCTATCATCTATCTATCTATCTATCTATCTATCTATCTATCTATCTATCTATCTATCTATCTATCTATCTATCACCTTTCTCATCCATCTATCTACTCTATCTCTCTAGTCTATTTATATCTATCTATCTGTCTGTCTGTCTGTCTGTCTGTCTGTCTGTCTGTCTGTCTGTCTGTCTGTCTATCTATCTATCTATCTATCTATCTATCTATCATCACCTTTCTCATCCATCTATCTATCTCTGCTTTTTTTTTTTAGAATTTTTATCTGAAAGCGGCCCAGAAGCACGACAGAGTCAGGCGACCTCAAATTTGAAGTGTTAAATATTTTTTATACCGTTCATGTTTAACGGATAAAAAATCATATGTTGGTGGAACGTTTGACCTTGTATAATATTCAATACTGAGCAGCGTTCCTCTTAGAAATATTTTTTCTTGATTCTCCATTCGATCTCTCAACATCAATTCTTAAGTGTTTATCTTCACGTTTATGAATTATTTGCAATAATTTTATTTCTTACGAAGAAATAAGAACGGTTCTTAAATAAGAATGAAACCCGTTTTGAAAATAGAAAGGTATTTCTGTGGCAGAAATAGTGGGGAAATAGTGAAAGCTTATAGCTGACATGTTATTGATGAGACTTAAATGTTAGGGATGAGAAAAATTCAAGCACGAATCTTGCTAGGATGTTCATCTTAATATTTACAATTATTTACAACTGCAACTAGGTACATTTTGCAATATTTGCAATATTTTCTTTGCTAATTATGCTTGGTATTTGTAGTCTTTATTTACCACATTAGTAGACTCACCATCTTCCAAGCATGCTTGTTTTCACATTGGAAATCATACCTCACTTATGGCATTTTATGGCAGTCCAGCCTTAATGTTCCTTGTGAATTCTTATTTCCACAATAGCTGCACAATTTCTTAAAAGGGGTAGCATCTATCTGGAAGGACCAAGAGGGTTTTCTCATAAATATATCTTCATAATTATATATATGTGGATTTATGGTTAACCCTTGACGCACTCAGAATACAGAGTAGTTCTGTTAACAGTAGTTAACATTTGGAGAATCAGTTTGGTGTAGCGGTTAAGACTCGGAACTGGGAGACGTTGAGTTCTAGTTCCACCGTGAACACAAGCCAGCTCGGTGACCTTGGGCTAGTCGCTTTCTCTCAGCCCTAGAAAGAAGCAATGGCAAAACACTTCTTGTCAAGAAAGTAGCCGGGACCTATCCAGGTAGTCTCTGAGAATTAACCACAATTGAACAGAAGGAAGTAAAGATCACTTCTTAGTAGACAGGGAGAGGATTTCATAGAACATTTTAAAAAAAAACACCTCCTGCTATATGAACCTACTCAATTTAGTCTTCATTTAAGGCAGGGGTCTTCCAACTTGGCCCTTTGATAACTTGTGGACTTCAACTCCCAGAATTCCTCAGCCAGTTGAAGTCCACAAGTCATCAAAGGGCCAGGTTTGAAGACCCTTGTGATAGATAGATAATAGATTGATGATAGATAGATAGATAGATAGATAGATAGATAGATAGATAGATAGATAGATAGATAGATAGATAGATATAGACTAGAGAGATAGAGTAGATAGATGGATGAGAAAGGTGATAGATAGATAGATAGATAGATAGATAGATAGACAGACAGACAGACAGACAGACAGACAGACAGACAGACAGACAGACAGACAGACAGATAGATAGACCGACCAAAGGTCCCCAACCTTGGCAACTTTAAGACTTGTGGACTTCAACTATTCATCTATTCCGTGCGGCCGGCCTGGCGTAGTTTGATTATGTTTCAGTGGGGTTTTTTTTTACGGGTGTGTTTTTAGAACAGGCCTGTTATTTAATTCGATTTTAAAACAAACTATTTATTATCGTGGTTTTTAGTATCGCCTGTTCACCGCCCTGAGTCCCACAAGGGAGATAGGGCGGTATATAAATTTGATAAATAAATAAATAAACTCCCAGAATTCCCCAACCAGCGTACCTAGCTGAGACATTCTGGGAATTGAAGTCCACAAGTCATCAAAGGGCCAAGTTTGAAGACCCCTGATTTAAGGCTTCAGCAAACACGAAACAGAGAATGCTGTATGTCTGCGGAGATTCTCAGTCTATCCAGGTCATGGATGTCCCAAAGGTGCTTTTTCAAGATTGGAGCTTCTTGGTTTTTCCCTGAAGACGTTTCCCCTCTCATCCAAAAAGCTTATTTAGTTCTGACTGAATGGTGGAGAATAGTTGGAAAAAATGGCCAGAGAGTCCACCTAGGTTAAAACTGAACAGCCCTCTCTCAACAGAGGGATAGAAATACAACATTACCCACCTCCTGTTTACAACACAGTCCTTCCAGCAGTTCCAAGAAAGTTGCACACCCATTTGCACTATTCAGGTGACCTTGAGGGCAGAGATAAACTCCCAAGTGGGACTCCATGACTCTCAGAAAGAGTACTAATGACCAGATGACTGCAAGGAATATAAATCCTCCCGTTCTCCACCATTCAGTCAGAACTGAAGAAGCTTCTTGGATGAAGAGCAAAACATCTTTAAGGAAAAACAAAGAAAGTCCAGTTGCCTCTTGAAAAAGCATCCTTGGGAGCAAATACTGTAGTTTTGATGCTCTGTCCTTGAAACGCTTTCCCTTGGAACAGTAGTATCTTATAAGTAACCAAAGGAAGGCTTTAAAACATTTATTAAGCACGTCAAGCTCATCGTCTTTTGTGTAATCATTTTACCGTTCTTTGTTAAAAGAAAAAAGAAAATAGTTGACAGGTCTGTCTGCCTTTCAATGTTCATTTAATTTGGTTTCATCCATTATACATTACCCCGAGATTTCTTCGGCTGAAGAGAGACTTACGGATTGTTTATATTAAATAAACATTTGAAAACCACGAGAACGAAAGACAAACACTGTCACGGTTTTTAAAAAAAAACATGCTACTTGAGATGATGGTTTTGTTTTAAGTAACACCTGTTTCTCCGCCGGGGCTTAGATAAACTTGTACTTGAAAATGGAAAAGAAGCCAAACAAGAAAGAAGAACTAACTTTGGTGAACAACGTCTTAAAGCTGGCCACGAAGTTATTAAAGGTGAGAATTAAAAACGTGGAAATGATTTGGGTTGTAATAAATAACACCAACTTTGCTCAGTACGGTTCCCTTTTGAGACTGTGGTTTTCATTCCCCCCCTCCCAATAATTTGCCATTTATGTTCTGCCAATTTATTTATTTATTTATTTATTTAATTACATTTATATCCCGCCCTTCTCCTTGCGGACTCAGGGCGGCTGACAATAGATAAAATGCTAACATGTTATACATCTAATTAAAAATCGATTAAAAAGAAATATTTAAATACGTCCAATTTAAAAGTAATTTGGATGTATTGATTTATTTTTTTAAAAAAAACACCTTAAATTCTGCCATTTCTGTTGCAGAAGGGGCCAAAGTGTACCTTGGCAAAAATTAAAATCCATAACGATCAGTGAAAAAGAATATTTAAACAGTACCGGTAATTCTCGATTTGTGACTAGAACTGAGCCCAGATTTTCCATTGCTAAGCCAGACAGTTAAGTGAATTTAATAGCCACCTGTAATTATAAGTAGTCCTTGACTTACGACAGTTGAGCTCCAAATTTTCCATTGCTAAGCCAGACAGTTGTTAAGGGAATCCTGCTCCATTTTACGACCTTTCTTGACACACTTGTTAAGCGTATCAGTGCAGTTTTTAAGTTAGTTAACAGGATTGTTAAGTGAATCTGAGTTCCCTCTTGACTTGGCTTGCCAGAAAGTCACAACTGGGGATCATGTGACCCCGGGACGCTGCGACCGTCATAAATGTGAGAGAGTTGCCAAGCAACAGACTTGAACACTGGGCGCTATCTAACAAAAATGAAATTCAAGGGTGAAAAAAGTAAGGTTCTACATTTAGGCAAGAAAAAACAAATGCACAGGTATAGTATAGGGGGTACCTGGATCAATAGTAGTAACTGTGAGAGGGATCTTGGAGTCCTAGTGGACAATCACTTAGATATGAGCCAGCCGTGTGCTGCAGCTGCCAAAAAGGCCAACACAGTGCTAGGCTGCATTAACAGAGGGAATCAAGATCATGTGAAGTGTTAATACCACTTTACAATGCCTTGGTAAGGCCACACTTGGAATACGGCATCCAGTTTTGGTCACCACGATGTAAAAAAGATATTGAGACTCTAGAAAGAGTGCAGAGAAGAGCAACAAAGATGATTAAGGGACTGGAGGCTGAAACATATAAGGAAAGGCTGCTGGAATTGGGTCTGTCTAGTTTAATGAAGAGAAGGACGAGGGGGGACATGATAGCAGTGTTCCAGTATCTCAGGGCTGCCCCAAAGAAGAGGGAGTCAAGCTATTCTCCAAAGCACCGGAAGGCAGGACAAGAAGCAACGGATGGAAACTCATCAAGGAGAGAAGCAACCTAGAACTAAGGAGAAACTTCCTGACAGTGAGAACAATTAATCAGTGGAACAATCTGCCTCCAGGAGCGGTGAATGCTCCAACACTGGAAGTTTTTAAGAAGAGACTGGACAGCCATTTGTCTGAAATGGTATAGGGTTTCCTGCCTGAGCAGGGGGTTGGACTAGATGACCTCCAAGGTCCCTTCCAACTATTTTTTTATTATTATTATGATTATTATGATTATTATTATTATTATTATTACTACTACTACTACTACTACTACTACTATTATTATTATTACTATTATTATCCGAATTTTGATCACGTGACCACGGGGGACGCTGCAACGGTCGTGTGAAAAAACGGTCAGAAGTCACTTTTTTTTCAATGCTGTCGTAACTTTGAATGGTCACTAAAACAAACCATTGTAAGTAGAGGACTTAGCTGCATTTCTTCCATTTCAATGATTTTAATACTTCTCCCATTTGTATGACGTGAATATATTTCCTCTTCCCAGGAACTGGACAATCCCTTCAGATTATACGGCCTAACAATGAACCCTCTGCTCTACAACATAACACAAGTTGTTATTCTGTCTGCTGTTTCGGGTGTAATCAGCGACTTGCTTGGATTTAACCTGAAGGTAACCTTTTCAATTTCGCCCTGAATTTATCTTTTGACTTTTGCAGATTTTTTTTAAAAAAACTACTGTGATTTCATTGATAAAGGTTGAAAAGTGCCTGTCCTTTTAAAAAGCATTGATTTGTTTCTGTCCCTAGCATCTGTTCTTTTCTCAACTATGTGAAAAAATGTCGGCAACCGTTGCGTTATGTTATGAAATTTCTTTAATTTCAGTCGTAAATATTGGCGTTAATGTCTGGACGCATAGATCCCTGGCATGCTTTTTATGTATTTATTTGTTAATTTATTTGCCGCCTACCACGCCTTAGCGCTCCTCTAGGTGGCTTACAGTATTAAAAAGAAAATGAAAGGCCGATAAGCAGGAGTAAAATAATAGAACTCGTAAAATAAACAATGAGAAAAGGAACGTGGGAACGAGTTTGGACCCGGTTCAGACTGGAATGAGCTTCGACTAACTAGTGATTTGCAATAAAAACAGCTTGAAGTGAAAGCCGTTATCTGCAACTTTCGAAGCTGTTAGATCAGTGTTTCTCAACCTTGGTAACTTTAAGATGTGTGGACTTCAACTCCCAGAATTCTCCAGTCAGCATAGCCGATAGCAAAGCTGGCTGGGGAATTCTGGGGGTTGAAGTCCACACATCTTAAAATTGCCAAGGTTGAGAAACACTGTGTTAGATAATTGACTGACTTAAATGACGATTGATCAACTTTCAGTGGAAATACTTTATGATAGGTTTGGGTTATTATTATTTTTTCAAGCGTGGCTTTGAAAGAAAAGAAAGCACTTTCTCAACATAATTGTATGCTTAGGTTTGTTTGTTTTTCTGTTGAGATTGTATTAATCCCTAAACTCGCATTTGATAGAAGAGAATATCTGTATCTCAAGAGTTGAATTGTGGGGTCCTCGGTGTATTCGTGGTGGTTTCCTTGCAGACGTTTCATGACCCAACTAGGTAACATCATCAGTGCTGGAAGAGAGAGGGGTTTGTGGAGAGGAGGAGGAGGAGGAGGAGGAGGAGGACTGTGGGGTCCTTGGTGCTCTCTGAGCTTGGTGGTTTTCTTGCAGACGTTTCATTATCCAATTAGGAAACATCATCAGTGCAGGATCGATGTTACCTAGCTGGGAATGAAACATCTACCAGCACTGACAGAGCAAGCCACTAGTATAAAATGAGAGCAAACCCCACACCCTCAGTAGCACTGATGATGTTACCTCGTTTGGTAATGAAACGTCTGCAAGAAAACCACCAAGCTCAGAGAGCACCAAGGACCCCATAGTCATTATCATTGTCGTCGTCGTCGTCCTCCTCCTCCTCCTCCTCCTCCTCCTCCTCCTCCTCCTCCTCTCTGCAACCTCACTGATGACATTACCTAGTTGGGCCATGAAACATCTGCAAGAATCAAGCTCAGAGAGTACCAAGGATATCACAGTTCTCCTCCTCCTCCTCCTCCTCCTCCTCCACTCTACAACCTCTCTCCCTTCTAGCCCTGATGACATTACCTAGTTGGGTCATGAAACATCTGCAAGAATCAAGCTCAGAGAGTACCAAGGACCCTACAGTTGTCGTCGTCGTCGTCGTCGTCGTCCTCCTCCTCCTCCTCCTCCTCCTCCTCCTCCTCCTCTCCACAACTCCCCCTCCCTTCTAGCACTGATGATGTTACCTAGTCTGGTAGTGAAACGTCTGCAAGAAAACCACCCAGCTCAGAGAGCACCAAGGACCCCACAGCTGAACCCTGAGCTACAGATAGTCTGTTCTATCAAATGGAAATTTAGGGAGGACAATGGAAACCATAAGCGGTCAAATTGGAATCCTTTGCTTACCCTTGTTTTCAATTTCAGCTTTGGAAGATCAAATCCTGACCCCTCTTCCAACACGGTTGCGTTGGAGAAGACAACTCAGAAGACTAAACGGCCTCTGTGCAGCCCCCCCCAGTGGCGGATTTCAGTCATTGCAATCTCTTGACGGACATCCTCGGAGGGGGGGGGAAACCCTGAAGTGTTTACAACTGACTGACTAGTGCAATCTAAATATTTATTTTACCTTTTCGATTTTTTTTTTTTGTAAACTTTGTTTTAGCTGACAGTGTGTTTGGTTGTGGATCCTCAGCAGGCTTTGGTTACCGAAAAGGTCAAAATCGGTGGGATCACAACACGGGTTGTGGTTTCACCTCAAATAAGTCAGATTGGCTTCATGGATTTGAAGCCCTTTTAGCTAAAGAAGTTATTGTTACAGGAAATCACTTTATCGAATAAGTATTACAAAGTATTTAGAAGGTTTTTATATACCGCCTTTGGGAAGAGAGTCTTGAGCCCACCAGCATATTGTCGTTTGTAGTTGAAAATAACACCTACTGTTAACGACAACGCATTATGCCAGGGAGCTAATAGATATGAGTAAAAAAAAATTTTTTTTAAAAAAAAAAAGAATAAATGCAAGATCCAGCAGCTCTCTTACTCAAATGATTCCAGGATCCACAGGGAACTGTTGTTTAAACAGGACTGAATCTCAAGGAGATATCACCGAGCAAGACAAGTGCTCTTTTCTCGATGTTTTTTAGCCGAGCAATAATTGTAAACTGTTACTACGTTGTAAGATATTTTGATAAAAAAAAAAAATTAGCTGTAGTATTTATTTTAAACGTGGGGCTGTTTATCCAGCTCTCTGCCGCTCAGTATGTGCACTTTTGTGGTTGTTTTAATAACGATCTTTATATATACTAAACTTGCATATACTACGGTGCTCTGTGGTGCAATAATATAGCTTTTGCAAGCGGGCGTAAAAAAAAAAAAAGGTTTATGCTCAGAATGAATATTTTCCCCACAGTACGCTGTAGTATAGGCAAACTTGTACCACACAGAGACTTTAAAGTGAACTTAATAAGGTATATGTTTTAAATTATATGATGGAACGCCAGTTTTTCGATCCTGTTCCTATCCTGGCTGATAAGCAATTGTGGATTATTTCAGGGAACGTCTTTCCTGACACACACACACACACACACACACACACACACACACCAAAATTCTTGAATGCTTGAAAAAAATAAATCCCAAATTCCCGATTTGTTTCTTCGCTCTGGAGGAAGTTATTGTATGCTGAACTTCCCAGAATAGTTTGGAGTGAGCATATTTAAAAAAACAGGCAGCCTAATTGCCAATTTAAAAGTTCCATTTGTGATCTGAAAGGACAAAGAGAAAGAAACAGATTCTCTTCCTTGTTTTCAAATAACACGCGCAATAAGATTACTGGCTAAATTTATTTCTGGTTCCAGGTAGGGCCATTTAACTGGGTTTCTGTAATTTTCTAAAGCTATGTATAGGTTTATATGTGTAGACAGTATTAGTCAGTTTTGCCTTGAGTAATAATATTAGTAACTAGTGATTAGTGATGCAGTAAACAGGGGGGGTGATGTCTATAATTGAGTTACCTTGATGTAATATGCACAGTTCTGATCTACGGAGGGCAGACAAAATGTTAGGCCTGCGAGCAGAGACTCTGGTCTTCTCCCCTTCCGTTGAGCAGTCAACACAGCATATCACAAAAGTTGCCTGTGACAAGTTGTCACTCCGTTAGGTGAGCGGGATAGCCCCAAGGCTGGGGGTATTTGCTGGAGGGCACCCCGAGTCTTAGGTGAAATTCGTGGCCTTTGCATAAAAGTCTTATCAGAGTTGGGCAGCTTAACAAATTGGAATCAATAAAATGTTAAATGATTGGCTTTACAGGTTAGAGCGATCACTATTTGGAGAAAAAGGATCGCTTGATTTTTTAAAAAAAATCAACTGAGAACAAAGTCTTTATGAAAGTCGGCTTACGTTATCAAATTGTAATCAAGTGGGTAAAAAGATACCATTGTATTATGTTGAATACACTTGGAAGAGCCTGCATTTCTAAGCTGACCCCTTAGTTTGAAAACATAGTTATTTTAAATGTAAGTAAGAGAAAATAATGTAGCTGAACAGAAAGAAAATGTAGACCAGTGTTTCTCAACCTTGACAATTTTAAGGCATGTGGACTTCAACTCCCAGAATTCCACAGCCAGCATTGCTGGCTGTGGAATTCTGGGAGTTGAAGTCCACATGCCTTAAAATTGTCAAGGTTGAGAAACACTGATGTAGACAGTCACTTCCTCTGCAGAATTATTACGATTGCTCTTGTGTGGTATAAGGTATTTTTATATATATAAAGTAACACAAAACATTTTGTATTTTATTCGTTGCTGTACTAATGACCAAAGTATCTTCTGTTGTGTTATTGTTTGCTCACCCTTTCTCCCAAAAGAATGTGTTACTAGAGCTTTAACAACATGCATTGCCTAATTTATCATGTCAAAACTTTGACCACGTGACCTGTTCTTCTTCTTCATTTGTGTTGTCTGATCTTCCAGGTTATGTTTAGGAATCAAGTCTGTTTTCTAGATAATTTTTTTTTTCCAAAATACGGTACGGACCTACCTAAAGCTAAATTTTACAAAGAATATATTTTAAGAAGAAAAAAAAACACAAAAACCTAAAGAACAATATGAACTGAGGATGAGTTGTGTAGCGATCAGAAATCATAACTCCATTCTGCCTTACCATTTTTTTTTTGTAAAGAAAAAAAAAAAGAACAGATGTTTTCGTAAAGAAGCATTTCGTTTTCGTGTTTTGAGATCTCTAAATACCGAGTAGGATCTTATTGGATGGCAGCAGTTTTGACTTTTGAGCAGAAATTTGATCGTAAGCCGACCGTACCTCTGCAACTGGCGGTATGCTGGATTGTTGCACTAATTACGGTTAGCGTTGGCAAACTTGCAGAACTGTCGGGTAGGAAAAGTACCTCACAAAATAATGACAGGTTTAAATTGTGCCATTGGTAAATCAAGCCTACAGTTGAGAAGCTAAGCTTATCTTACATCCCTTATTTGAGAAGAGAGCGGTAAGGAGAATGCGGCAGGTGTTGTTTAATTGTTGTTGACTTATGTTTGTAACCGGCAGCGTGCTCAAGCTTTGGAATAAAACCAGTGGCTGATGGTAGTCCTTTGTGTTTTTCCTATCGGAGTCTTCCTGCCAAAGGTCAGATCCACACATGAAGGTCCAATGAAACTGATTTATTACTAAATAGTTACAAGAATTTCAATTAACAGCACCTATTTGGGGTTAGATAAGGGTCAATGGCATCAAGGGAGATTGGATTTAGTCCACTTGTGACTATGTAGGGATTCTAGGCTGAGCCCTCTCTTAACTCTGCCCCCACGTTCTGCCGTTCCTTCTCTTACATTTCCTCACTGAAGCTCTGTCTTTCTTCAGATTGGCTTGGATCTTCCTTATTCTCTGTGATTGCCTCTAAAAGTCTCGGCACACACGTCCGGGAGACCATTTTATGGTTAACTCTTAAAAATGGAGCCCTTTTGCATCCTTCCAGATTCTCTACAGCTACTACATGGAGCAAGACGTTTTGAGCCTTTCATAAAAATATTCCCGATGCTATCCTGGGCAAACCAGAGACCTATGTATTGTGTTGTCACAACACAGAATTTAGAAATAGATTTCCATTGCAAAAAGTGCAGACTACTCACTTGATGTTGATACAATGGTATTTTTCGCTCTTGCGGGAAATAAAGGAACAAGTCCAGAAACTTTACAACTGGTTAAATTTCATGAGCTTTGGTTTAATAAAATAAAATGAGCTGGTTTGTCTAGTCTAGTGAAAAGAAGAAGTACGGGTGGTATGATAGCAGTGTTCCAATATTTGAGGGGCTGTCCCAAAGAAGAGGGGGTCAACCTATTCTCCAAAAGACCTGAAGGTAGGACAAGAAACAATTGATGGAAACTCATCAAGTAGAGAACCAACTTAGAACTAAGGAGAAACTTCCTGACAGGGAGGACAATTAACCAGTGAAACAACTTGCCTCCAGAAGTTGTGGGTGCTCCATCAATGGAGGCTGTTAAGAGACTGGACTTGTCTGGAATGGTTTAAGGTCCCCTGCTTGAGCAGGGTGTTGGTCTAGAAGACTCCAAGGTCCCTTCCAATTCTGTTCGTCTGTTCTGAAATATCATTTCTGATCTCTTGATGCTTCCCCCCCTAGTGCCACAAGGGGGCTCTCTGACCCACTAAAAAGCTATCTAGAGCTGGTTAAGTCGATCAAGAAAATTCAGACTGGAGGACTCTTGGTATCAAATCTTCTCAAGATGCTGTAATGTTGAAGCCAAAGAAGAAATTCCAGTTCACTTCTGAAACCTTATGTGATTAATGTCACACACTCTCAGTTGAGGAGACTTCAATTAAGATAAGAGATCTGGAGGCTAAACCATACGATGAACAATTGAGGAACCTAGGTATGTCTAGTTTAATGAAGAAAAGGACAACGGGGGAGATGCTAGCCGTCTTCCAATATTTGAGGGGCTCCCGCAGAGAACAAGGGATAGACTATTCCCCAAACTACATGAAGGCAGAACAAGAAGCCATGGATGGGAGGAAGATCATTAAACGGAGATCCAGCCTAGAACGAAGGAGAAATCTGACCGTGAAAACTATTAATCAGTGGAACGGCTTACCTCCAGATGTTGTGGGTGCTCCATCATTGGAGGTTTTCAGGAAGAGACTGGACAGCCATTTGTCCAGAATGGTGTAAGGTCTCCTGCTTGAGTAGGGGGTTGGATTAGAAGACCTCCAATTCTATTATTCTGTGTTCTAAGAAAGTTCTGTCTGAAGATGTTTGTTTCTGCTTAATCTGCCTAACGGGAGTACAAATAGTCCTCGATTTACAAGTTCATTTAGTGAACGTTCAAAGTTACAACGGCACAGAACGACGTGACATACGACTGTTTTTCACAGTTATCGACCGTCGCAGCATCCCCATGGTCACGCGATCAAAATTTGGATGCTTTCAAGAAGAGATTGGAGTGCCATTTGTCAGGAATGGCATAGAGTCTCCTGCTTGAGCAGGAGGCTGGACTAGAAGACCTCCAAGGTCCCTTCCAACGCCGTTATTCTGTTATTATACTGTTATTCTGAGTCTGAAATGTCTGATGCGCGGGAAGAGGGCAAAAGTGGACCCTCCCTAACAGTTCAGAGTATACAGGAAGTCCTAGACCAGGGGGAAGGCAACCTTGGCTCTTTTATGACTCGTGGACTTCAACTCCCAGAATTCCTGAGCCAGCCATGCTGAAGGGAAAAGGGAGAGTTTCCAAGCTGAGCCATGCTGGCTCAGGAATTCTGGGAGTTGAAGTCCACGAGTCATAAAAGAGCCAAGGTTGCCTAATCCTGTCCTAGACTTACAACTATTTGTTGAGTTAACTGTTTGGAATTACAACGGCATTGAAAAAAAGCGACTTATGAGCATTTTTCACACGACTGTCACAGCATCCCCCCGTGGTCACATGATCAAAAGTTGGACCTTTGGCAACCGGTTCATTTGGCAAGGGGGGGTCATGTGATCCCCTTTTGAGATCTCCTGACAAAGTTAATGGGGGAAACCAGTTCACTTAACAACCGTGTTCCACTCATAACAACTACAGGGATTCACTTAACAAGTGTGGCAAGAAACATCATAAAATGGGGCCAAGACAATTGTCTCTCTTAACAGAAATCTTGAGCTCAACTGTTCCCATAAGTTGAGGACTAGCTGTCTCTATTGCATTGCTAAAGATAATTGCTTCAGTGTGGCAATATTCAGTTGTAGGCGGAACTACCTCAGAAGTAACTCCACCTCGTTGGAGTTAAGTGAAGCCCTCGTTGTTTCCCGCCTGGACTATTGGAACGCTCTCTACATGGGGCTCCCCTTGAGGTGCACCTGGAGGCTCCAGCTAGTTCAGAATGCGGCCGCGCGGGGGATTTTGGGGGCCTCTAGATACTCCCATGTAACACCTCTCCTGCGTGAGCTGCACTGGCTGCCTGTGGCCTTCTGGGTGCGCTTCAAGGTGTTAGTGACAACCTTTAAAGCGCTCCATGGCAATGGACCTAGGTATTTGCAAGACCGCCTCCTACCAAACACCTCCCTTCGGCCAGTCCGCTCCCACAGAGAGGGCCTCCTTAGAGTGCCATCGGCCAGTCAATGCCGGCTGGCGACCCCCAGGGGGAGAGCCTTCTCTGTGGCAGCTCCTGCCCTCTGGAATGACCTACCCCCCGACCTACGTACAGTTGCGGACCTGCGCCTTTTTCGCCGAGCCCTGAAGGCCCATCTATTCCGTGCGGCCGGCCTGGCGTAGTTTGATTATGTTTTAGTGGGGTTTTTGTATGGGGTACTTTTAGAGCAGGCCTTTATTTATTTAATTTGATTTTAGAATAGATATTTATTGTGATTTTTATTATCGCCTGTTCACCGCCCTGAGTCCCGTAAGGGAGATAGGGCGGTATACAAATCTAAATAAACAAACAAACAAACAAACCTATTACTCATGGTTCTTGGGGGGGACCCATAATGAACTACACGGTATAAACAGTTGGGAAAAAAAAGATTCTTGGATATATATTTTATTTGAGTGGTTTAGAATATCATACAGTAAACAAGATTTCTGTAAAAGTTAATTTATCCGTAGTGGTGGTTTCATAAAAATAGTTGCTCACTTACAGCTTTTCTGTGACTATTAATACATGGAATTATATTTATAGCAATAGAGCTGTACAAGGTAAATTCACAGCTAACACTACACAGAAATATTATTTGGAATGGGGGGTTTAAATGATGCCTTCACAGGTTATCAATTACAGCCGCATAAAGCCGTGTGATCTGCACAAAAAAGAGGGAGGGGCAGGGTACAAACAGAATCTCCATTTCTCCCTCTTTGCTAGCAAAGTCCTGTCTACATTTCAGGCTTAATAAATTAACAGCAAATTATGCCAAATATCTAGGCTGGGAATAAAGATATATCTCTCTCTATTTCTTTCATTAATATATATAGACAGATAGATATTCTATTTTGTAAACAGCTACATATCTTTGTGCTTTCTTAAAAAACTAGAACGGGACAAATTCTTAAATATGCAATTTTTTGATTTCCAAGGTGCAAAGTCCTTTTTTCCTTCTCAATTTAATTTAGTCTAAGAGGGCTCCACGGTTCCTGAAGAAAACAAACGAAAAGACGGATTAACTGATCGTAGGTTGAGCGGAACTAGAAATACGGGGATTTCGGTTGATTGACCAAGGTTCAATCTCTTGTTTATGCCTCTCTTCGAATCGAAAATTTCTCCTGATCTTAAAAAATAACTTGATTCTGCTCACCTGACAAGGTTACTTCTGAGAAACAGGAGGGGTTTGCGAGAAAAAAAAAATCTTTTCAAGTTTAAAAAACAAACATTACGGAGTGCTGCTGCTCTTGTTTCTATTGCTGTTGCTTAAAAAGAAAAAAATAATAGCAAACCTCTCAGAAATTAAAAGGGTTGATTTACGGAGCTCAGCGAACAAGCCACACTTTGTCGGTGTGCAAATGAAACGTTATTATGGCACTGGAGACGTGAAAAAGACACAGAATATGGAAGGAAGAGACACGGCGTTGCCTGGTGGGTTTCTATCATAAAAATAGGAGTTTTGTGGACATCTTTTTTAGACTTTCTAGAGTGCCACGGGGAGTAAAATTCAAAGGTGGTCCTATGAAAAAGAAGTTGAATTACTATTTTAGACAGTTGTGAGTTCTTGCAGGCGACCAAGGCTGTTTTTCAAGAATCACTCTCCCGTTGTGGTGATCCGGCAGTTGTAGTTTAGGATCCCTCCTGTGAAAACTAGGTCAGAGACCCCCAAATTTGGGGCACCAGGGACCGGTTCTGTGGACAGAGATTTTTCTGTAGACCGGAGAGGGGGCAGCGTGGTTTTGTGTGCTGCCTGCATCCCGTGGATGGGGCTTCGCTTGTTTGTGCAGCCCGGTTTCTGGCATGTTGCGGCCCAGTGCTGCTCCACAGCCCGGGGGTTTGGGGTTGGGGACCCCTGACCTAGTTGACACTTGGAGATCCAGATCTGTAGGTGTGCCTCTCTGGGAGAGAAATCTATCTGAGGCTAGGTTTCCGAATAGAATTCCACCCTTGTTTCTCAGTGTACAGAAATATGGTTGGTTCACAAAATGGACATAAAAATGGTTCTGCTTTAGCTAACTCACTAGGGTGCCTCGTAATGAATTATGATACTAATATTGGGCAGATCTGATTCTTTTTCCCCCCTCCCAAAGTGTTAACAGTAGAGACATAGCATGGATTTACAATTTCAATGCTTCAACCCCTGTCTAGATACGCCGAGAACTATTTATTTACAACACTGAATTCAGATAAAATATTCTATTTCCACTTTTAACTTTCCCCGTGCAGTTTTTTTTATTTAAGGCGATGTTCCAGTTTATGATTGCTCTAACTTCTTCCAGTTTCTCGATATAAAGTCTGAATGAAAAAAAATCCCAAGTCCTTCATGCAGTGGTAAACATCAAACTAAAGCTACACTGCATGGGGGTCAACGGTCCTTCATATTATTTTGGTTTCTTCCGTAGCTGCCAAAGTCTCTGAAATGAAACTGGGGGCTTGAAGGTCACATTGGGATACAAGAGTGACGCTATCTTCCATTAACGTATTAAGACATTATGCATGTTGTCACAGAATTACACATGACTGCTTTCGTTTCTCCATCGTTTTGAGCGTATGAGTTAAAATAAATTAAAACGAGGTGAGACAGAAATAGGGAGGACGTTCTGCAACACGGTGTGTACCATGAGAAGGCAACAGTCACAGTTGGCTTATCTGCTCATCGCGGAGGTGGTCGATTTTAGGATGCCGGGAAGCTTATCGGAGCCAGGAATCTTCCATGGCCCCGGCGAGACCGTTGCCTTCCGAGCGGTGGGGTTGGGGTAGTGTGTTGGGATGGGATGGGCGTGTCCCTTCCGTGGGAATTCACCGGGCTTCCTCTCCAATTCTTTCTGGCTGTGATCCATGTCACTTCCATGGGAGCTGCAGCTATTGCTACTGTACGCCTTGGTAGCACCAATGGAATCCAGCTTGACGTGTTCGGTTGACTTCTCTGCAGCCACCGTGACATAAGGATCCTTTGCGCCAAGGGATCCCCCTCGTTTGCTTTCCAACCTCTTGGATCTCCCAACCCATTCCTCGTTGGTTCCAGCACATTCGTGTCCTCTGACGCCGTCCTCGGCTGTTGGGTGGAGTCCTCCTGCCTTAGTTTCCGGCAATGGCGTTCCACTCTCGGTGGTCTTACTCTTGCCTTCTGAGCTTGCTTTCCTCCATACCTCTTCATGTTTTGACCTATCTACCTTCTTAGGACTTGCAGATCTCTCCGTCTGCTCGCCTAACCTTTTCTTCCTGTGGCCGTTGACCGAAAGCTCCTTTGGTTTGTTGGCGTGATGTTCCCTCTTGATATCCCAAGCTGAGTCTGGGCTTATCGGACGGGAAGGGTCAGAGGACTGGGCGAGATGCGATGAAGATAATGGCAGGACAATGTCATCGGGGGAAAGAGTTACTTCCGACAGACCTGGGGAGGTGGCAATGGGGGCACTCCAGGAGTTTGGTTCGTCTGTTTTAACGAAGAGAAACAAGGTTAGTTTCCATAACGAAGAGAAACAAGGTTAGTTCCACAGGCTTCTGTGGAGTATTCATTACAATGCCTAGAGAGTTCAACGGAAAGTCGCCTCCGTCATTTTCGAAAGCTCTGTGAAAAGGAGGGAGGAGACGAGTGAGCAAGAGAAGTCATTTCAACAGAAATTTCAACTGAGGCATTGCTAGCTTTTCTTTCGTTGATACTCTTCTAAAGTTGCATGTTGAGAGCTATGTCTCTCAACTTAGGGGCACTTTTTTTGGCTCCCCAAAAGCTAGCCGTGGTAGACCATAGAAGGAGGAGGAGGAGGAGGAGGAGGAGGAAGAAAAAAAGGAGAGGAAGAGGAAGAAGGAAGAAGAAGAGGAGGAGGAGGAGGAGGAGGAGGAGGAGGAGGAGGAGGAGAAGAAGAAGAAGAAGAAGAAGAAGAAGAAGAAGAAGAAGAAGAAGAAGAAGAAGAAGAAGAAGAAGAAGAAGAAGAAGAAGAAGAAGAAGAAGAAGAAGAGGAGGAGGAGGAGGAGGAGGAGGAAGAAGAAGAATGCAATCATATCTATCCCCTGGCTATCTTTTGGAAGGGGCATTGAAGAAGGGAGCATTGAAGAAGGCCCACCCAAAGGAAAAGATGATTACAACATCGAATCTGGGTCAGCCACCGGAACTAGAGATTTAGTCTTCTGGGAACTTCTCTCTGCTGGAATATGTGCTTTGAACTATTCTGTGAGTCGCTTTGGACTATTCTGTGAGTCGTGTTTATGTAGTGCCTTCCTATTGGCGGATTGGTGTGTTGATGGCTGGCGATTGGCTGTTGTTCCCTTGTGCTGCCAAGCCCTCGGCTCCTAACTACCTGATAAGCTGGTGGTCTGTTGACTGATGAGGGTCCCATTTCCCAGGCTTCAATCACTTCCTGGCTATCTTTGTACCCACCTAGAAAATGTTATTATTGTAAAAAGGTACAAAACCAGCCAGGGAAGCGATTGAAGCCTGGGAAACAGGACCCTCGTTGGTCAACAGGAATGCTGATTGTCCACCAGCTTATCAGGTACTTTGGAGCTGAGGGCTTGGCAGCACAAGGATACAACAGCCAATCGCCAGCCATCAACACACCAATCAGCCAATAGGAAGACACCACATAAATACGACTCACAGAATACCCAAAGCACACATTCCTATAGAGAGAAGTTCCCCAAAGATGGGCTCCATCACAAGTCCAAAAGCTTGGAAGATTAAACCTCTGGTTCCCAATGACCGACCCAGATTAGATCTCGCAACATTATCCTGGGACACGTATGTTTGCCTTTATTCGTAAAAGATTATTAGAACATTCCTTTCTCTGGGCCAATTGGTAACCCCCCCCCAACACAACACATCATAAAAATGTTGGGCATTTGTAGTCAATTCCTAAGGAAGAAAGTTGGCCTCACCCTGTAACTTTGGTCATCAAATGGTTATAAAAAGATGGCAGGTTAACCATTATGCAACAGAATGGAGTCCATCTCCTATATATTGTAACAAATGCAGCATCCCTCACTGAAACATGAGCCCCTCGGTGAGGGAGATGGGTGGTTAAGACATTTGATATATAAATAAATGTTTGCAGCACACATTGAACACCACAGCTGATCCCGATTTGCACGCTTAGAGCTAGATTTTTTAATTATACTGCGGATTCCGTTCATTGCCCTTTGATGGTCATTTCAGATCTGCCTGAAATCTTTACACATTTCATTCAAGCAGATAACATCTGTGCATGGAGACAGTTTGCACATGGAAGGAGATGGCAAGTGGGATGAAGAAGATTTGTCGATTTCATGGAGCACCTCCATGCAATCCAGAGAAATTAGGATTTTTCATTGGGGGCTTGAATGAAGGGGGAAAAATGCTTTGAAAATCATCCCATCCACAAAGAACCCCCTTTTGTCCTGGAGCATAATTTTCAATTTTCTTCCAGCTTTTTGAATAATGTACACATATTATGGATATGAACCCCATCTATGTTGATTGTATCCACGTCTTTCCCCAGGTCAAAGAGTTTTCCGCAAAAAAAATGAGCAATAACTGAAGATCATAGTGAGTCATTACATTAACTGAATTTAGTTGAAATTGAAATGAATGGGGCTTAACTAAAATTCAGGGGGTTATTGTTTTAATGGAAGATCCTACTGACAGCATCTGGGTGGTCTTTTGTGATGCGGGTTCTCTGTTTTAAAATATTAATAACGACAACACATCTACAACATATAAACCACACACATTGACAGAACCCTCCTCTTGAAATCAAGAATCCCTGAATTAGCTACTTTATTGCTCAACGCCTAGTTCGCAGGAATCTTCTCAGGCAGGTATCTTTTGCCTGGGAAAGGCTAGATAAGGTCCAATGGCATCCAGGGATTGAGGGGCGGTGTTCTATCCCAGCCTACACACATCCTTGTTACTTCACAAAGACAACCCCTCTTTTAACAGTAGACTGGAAAACAAACCCTTTTTATTTGAGTTACAGACCTGATCATTGTCCCAGAAAACAAAAGCAACAGAACACTTTTCCAATGGAGACAATTGCCCAAAAGCAACACGGAGCACGAGTCAAACAGGAAATAACTCACAGGCAAAATAAACAGACCATGATCTCTTGACACTGAAGTTCTTTGCAAATGGTTGCCTCCAGCAACCAGCCCTGCCCATACATTCCCTTTTTGTTACGCAGTCCCCAAGGCGTGGCTTCTCACTGCTTTCTCCTCCTCCCCTGGAGTCACACCATTGCCTCCCTCTGTCCTGCTCGTGTGACCTGTCTATGTTTATGAGCGTCTCTTCCAGCTGTGCTTCCTCCGAGTCTGACTCAGCTTCCCAGCACAGCTGGCTCTCAGCTTGATCACGAGTGGAAGGACCACCCTCTTCATTAGTTTGTAAGTCCTGCAGCTCATCAGAGCTTCTCTCTGACTCTGATGGCTCTCCAGGCTCCTCCTCCTCCTCTGATTCCCCAGATTCAACTACCGGGATCACAGGCTGGCACGGAATCACAATGGTGGGGGGGAAACCTTACCCTCTTGTGCTCTCATCAGGATTCCAGACTAATTCCCTATTTGACCCCCTCCTCTTGATTGGAACGGTTGCTCTTCAACATAAGCTACGAACTTTCTGCGGTTAGGTGCCTGCTAAATCTAATGCCAGGGAAGCTGAAAATTGTAACGTGCTTTTGAGTCATTCTATTGAACGGCAAACCACAATTACTATTGCTTCTTCTTCTACTTCTTCCCCTTCGTCTCCATTTTATCATTTCAGCAGCCTTTTCAGAAAAGAGAATGAAACCAAACCCCACAATATTACAGGATCCCTCTGCGAAAGCGTATAAATGAATCGAGTGTAAGTTAAAAAGAAATGATACAGAAAGCCAAAGATAAAGAGCCCAGTTAATTATCCCTATTAGACTTGAAATTAAACGTATTTGCGAATCACCATTGGAGCTATAAACATGAAGCAATTCATTAGGCCGGGAGTTAAAGCCAATGATAATTCAACAGATAAGAAAAGCCAAGTTTGGGAGATGGCAAATAGTGAAATTAAAAAAACAAAACAAAACAAATGGCTTTGTGAGGTTTTGTAATGAATTAGCTACATCCAAATAGCTATCTGGCACTTTTCCAGGCTCAATTTTACGAGTTATACCATCCTTGCCTTTCCAAATGATCTCTCGTAACCCAAAAGATCTTGTCCTGGGGGTGAGCAAAAGGTTGATGGTGGGATGTGAATAAATAAAATAGCCCCCTTTTTTCCTTCTAATATCTTTCAGTGGCTACAAGTACTAAAACAGCTGCTCGGTGGTTGAAGGGCTGGATAAGGAAAGCTGGAGGTAAATGGTCACGTTTGGGGGATTAAAAATTAATTTTAATAGCATCCTGAGGCACCTCCCTAGCAAGTCTCCTCTTTCTGGGGTTGAAAATACCCAGCCCATAATAATAATAATAATAATAATAATAATAATAATAATAATAATAATAATAATAATAATAATAATAATAATAACAACAACAACAACAACAACAACAACAACAACAACAACAACAAGAAGAAGAAGAAGAAGAAGAAGAAGAAGAAGAAGAAGAAGAAGAAGAAGAAGAAGAAGAAGAAGAAGAAGAAGAAGAAGTTGGAAGGGACCTTAGAGGTCATCTAGTCCAACCCCCTGCTCAGGCAGGAAACCCTATACCATTTCGGACAAATGGCTGTCCAGTCTCTTCTTAAAAACTTCCAGTGTTGGCGCATTCACCACTTCTGGAGGCAGGTTGTTCCACTGGTTAATTGTTCTAACTGTCAGGAAGTTTCTCCTTAGTTCTAGGTTGTTTCTCTCCTTGATTAGTTTCCATCCGTTGCTTCTTGTCCTGCCTTCAGGCGCCATTTTTACTCTAGATTTTATTGTTCCTATGGCTATCGGGATCAACTGTGCTGTAAAATGACTAGGTTGCATCAGAGGATATTACCATCCTGTGATTTGTTTTCCTGCTCAAATGCAACTCTACTCAAAAAAGCAAATTTGGATTTGCTCTGCCATCCATAAGTTGATAAGGTTTTACAAATAGTTGAATAGGAAACCTGCTCCATTTTGTCCCTTATACCAGAGTTCCCCAACGTTTCCGGCTTTGTGGACCAGTGGGGTGGTGGTGGTGGGAGAGAGGATGCAAGCAAGTGCCCAGCTCTGCGCAAGCAGCCTGTCTATGCGCCTGCCGCTTACTTAAATGGGGCACGCACGGCCCCTCCCGCTGCTTGTGCAAGGGAGGACACGCGTGCATGTGTGTGTGCTCACAGGTTGGGGACTCCTACCTTACAGATATTAGTGCTTTTGGTCTTTCCAGGTAAATTCTGCAGATATTAGTATTTTTGAAGCATGTTCTTCGACTAATACACACAGACGCTCGCTTCCTTCCTTCTCTAAGTCATTATATCCCAACGATGAATTTTACACCATTCCTGTCTAAAACTAAGGAATCTGTCAT